AAACGTTAGATAAGTCATTAGCAAAGCCTTTCAAGCCAAAATAAACAGCTTGTAACTCCCTAAAATTTATGTGTTCTTCTCATTCGTAGGTAGGCCAGAGACCTTGAGAACTTATGTTATTGCAACAAACACCCCATCCAATATCTGATGCGTCAGAGAATATTTCCATAGAGTATTTACTATATGATAATAAGTTTTTGCTAATAGGTATGTTTCGAATCCACCAATCGGTATCAACACATAACTTCTTAGAAATTTTCATAGTTCCGTTATAATTTCCTTTATTACTCTTTAACGCTAAATTTTTTTCTCTCTCGAAACAATTTGGTATATAAATAACCGTACTTATGGCTGGACATATGGATATCAACTTCCCTGTTAGCCTTACAAACTCCCTTGTAGTGCATTTCTTCCATCTTAAAAACTTTTTTAAATGCAAAATTATTTTTGTGATTTTTTCCTCTTGAACAGAAATAGTCATATCCATAGAGTTTAATTTAAACCCCAAAAACGTCACAATTTTTTGTGGAGATAATACTCTTTTTATAGTTTACAATAAACCCCATATTCGAGTAGTCCAATTGTTTCTAATACATTTGCTAAACATGCATCATAAGAATCTCCTAGTAATTAAAAATCATCTAAATAAACAACTGAAACGTGAATATCTCTGTAATAAACTGATTTTTACATGGCTGTGCCTTAGAAATAGCCCCTATACTAAGCAATCTCCGAACGTTGCCCTCAATTGTCTTATGTTGTTGCACCGACCATTTATGTCTACCTGAGATTATGTTATGTGATGGTCTCGTCACAAACGGAATTTTAAAACCTTGCAACCATGCCATAATACATCTATTATCCCTATACATCTTCCCTGAGAACGCGACCTTACGCCGAAGTGTTGTATTCGGTTCCAGGTCCGCCTTTGACGTGGGCGGTTGTAGGAAGTTTCTCGAACATTGAGTCTGTCCCGTTTCCCTCCCTGCTGATGTTGAGGCAGACTTTTGAAGTTTAAATGCGGCGTGGACCGAGATCTGGCTGCATTTGATACGATTCTTCCTGGAGTACTTCTGACAGTCTTTAACTGACTGGATGACAGTTAAAGGCGGACAACTCTTTGGCCGCCTTTAATCTTCCTTCCAAATCCTCACCAAACAACCAGGTATCCAAAGGGGATTCCGTTAGAGTGGTTTTCCAATTTTTATTTAAATCGAAAGACACTAGTTCCCTCCTCGATATTGACTCGGAATGGATAACACCAGTTATAAGACGTTCTGTGTCGTTTAGGGTCTCTATATAATGCTTTATATTCCTTTCTCCCCCCCCTCCCTTTTCCTCTAAAATTTTTGCCATTACTTGACCTATAGCCGACAAACTGGCTGCTAATCTTGATTGAATTTTAGCCAATTTCATCTCTGCACTCCACATTATCATGTATGGCCTGTTTCCGCATTAAATTTAACTATGGTGGTGGCGTTCTCTGGAGAGGGGTACTTCTCCATTAATAGGTTAAGAACGGGTTCTTCAAGGCCGGTTTTTGCAATGTGTATCCATCCGCTACTGTACTGAACTTCCATCTACCGTGTCGCTAGAATCTGCCAGCAAACTATAGTCGAGGATCTTCGGAAGCAATGTCCAGTATAAAGATGAAAATCGGGCAAATTTAGAAATTTAGCAATATTGGCAGGCAACTTACCAAAAGTGTTGATTCCAACTGGAGTCGTGGCACATTTATTCTTAATATATTTTATAAATATTCTTGAATGGTTGATGGTCGCTGGACGGAGAGCTATGTACTTTTTGTAATAATTCAAATATAATGTACCAGTAATACCAAATGTTCGTTCCACATTAGTTTTTGTATCTGGAATATGCACGATTAATGAAGTTCCTACATCCTCGATATTATTTAATGCCAAGTTGCATAGTTCTTCACGACGGCACGCTCCAAATATGCCGAAAATTACGGCAACTTTTTTCATAAGGTATATTTCATCCGACGCCTCTGCAAGAAGTTTGGCGATCTGTTCTCTGGTCAATATTTTTCGACTGGTCAATATTTTGGACGATATCCCTCAACTTTTTGCTTCAAAACAGCAATAAGCCTGTAATATTTGCTTATGTCCTGATTGTTAGTCTTTATCATCGCCTTGATCATATGGAATAATTTGACCAAAGCGTTGACGATTTTCATATTTTCTGACTTTTCTTCGAAGTATGCCAAACGTACTTTTTCACTGAACTTGCCAGTGCCACTGACATTTTTTAGGTCACACCATCTCAAAAATCGATTATATGAAAACTCGTACTTATCCTTGGACTTGCTGGGTAATAAATCAAAAGTAATTCTGTTAGCCGCTTCTCCAATTTCTGCTGGAAAAAACTCAGTTTCTTGATCACTTTCCATCATCTTACAAGAGTTGAGGCACAAATTTGACATTAGTTGACAACAAATGATCGAATGTTTGGAATCTTTCAATTACCCTAGCAACCATAAACTTAATAATTAATTTGATTTCAGAATGACATATTATGAATTCATATACAAACTAAAATATATGGGAAACTGAAATTGAGATCTTTGAAAGGACTTTTTCACCGCAACCAGTTATACACAAATTTGTTAGTTTCGTGACGAACCACCGGTCGCGCTTAAGGCGAAGTTTTTTTGGCAGTTCAAATCAAATCAAGTCAGTTCTAATCAAATAAATAATAAATAATATGCACCGTCAAAAATCGAAAAAAGTTTTACTGAAATTTTAGTAATTGTTTAAACTTTTTATTAAAAACAATGATGGAATCAGGCCGTAAACCCTTTCACGAGCCCTTTCATAAGTATGTTGTACCGGCGCCGGCGTGCATGGATTTGTTTTCCAAAAGACATACATTCTCGAAGAACGATCCTACATTATTCCAAAAGTGATATCAAGTGCGAAACCTTAAAATGGAAAATACAACACAGCAAGATATTTAAAAGATTTATAGAGTTTGTGATTTACATTTTTGTAATCAAGATTACGTACCTGGAATAAAAAGAGGGGCTCTGGTGCACAATAGGTCCCCACGCATTTAACACTTTTTTGTGATTTTTTTGCAAGATTATCTTAAACTGAATATTTTTAAGCATAAAAATTGTTGGATGAATGTGTTTTATCTTTAAAAAGCGGCAAAAAAACGTATTTTAGGTACAGGCGACGGACAGTAAATATGTTAAATTTTCTACACGGATTCAGTAAAAACATCACATATTAGTACTTTATTACCTTATATAGACGTGGAATGATCTAATTTAAGCACAAAAATGTAACGAATCTTCTTTGTAAGCATAAAAATTAAGAAAATATATTTATTTACATCAGCTCAAGCTAGCAATTTTATGACTTTTTCGATTGACAGTTAATCGATCATCGGTATGTCATCTATGGCCTTCGCATAGAATTTGCGACGTTGTCAATAAAATTACTTTATATGATTTTCTTCTGAAATAAAGTTGTTGTGGAGGGACTTAAAACGGTAAGTTATCACTTTAGTGCAACAAAAATTGAACTGTCTAGTAGCTTATTCGTTAGTGTGGATTATTTTAAAGCAATTTCTGAAATAAAATTTGCGGATTTTTCAGGTTCTACGAAAATATAAGTTTTTTTAATATATACTGTTTTTCGACGCGTAATCAATGAAGTTTTGTCATTAGGCTCAATTAGGTTAGCCTGGTTATTTGGAAGGTGGTAATGCATTGGTTAGCCTGGTTATTTGGAGGGTGTTAATGCAATGGTTAGCCTGGTTATTTGGAGGGTGGTAATGCATTGGTTAGCCTGGTTATTTGGAGGGTGTTAATGCATTGGTTAGCCTGGTTATTTGGGGGTGTTAATGCATTGGTTAGCCTGGTTATTTGGAGGGTGGTAATGCATTGGTTAGCATGGTTATTTGGAGGGTGTTAATGCATTGGTTAGCCTGGTTATTTGGGGGTGTTAATGCATTGGTTAGGTTAGGTTAGATAGGCTGGTTATTTGGAGGGTGGTAATGCATTGGTTAGCCTGATTATTTGGAGGGTGTTAATGCATTGGTTAGCCTGGTGATTTGGAGGGTGTTAATGCATTGGTTAGCCTGGTTATTTGGGGGTGTTAATGCATTGGTTAGGTTAGGTTAGATATTCTGGTTATTTGGAGGGTGGTAATGCATTGGTTAGTCTGGTTATTTGGAGGGTGTTAATGCATGGTTAGCCTGGTTATTTGGGGGTGTTAATGCATTGGTTAGGTTAGGTTGGTGGGGAGTGTTTGGAAGTACGCAGATCACATCCATTTCGGAATCTTACTGAACAAATCCGGGAAAAATATATTTTTAAACAATTGTGCTAAATACTGTGTAATGATTTTATTGTCAATTTATTTTTATAGTGTTTTTGTTTTGCCTCGTTTATTATATTTTTAATTTTTCGTGTTCTTAAAGTGCGTACTAAATGTAAAAAAAACGAATATAAAGTAGAACGTTTTCGTCGATTTTACACAGGGTGAGTATGGCAACACTGTGCATAACCTTGTATTTTACTGTCTTTATGAAGGTTATAATAGGGAGTTTTCGCATTGAAATGTAGTGAAAATTTGGAATTTTCAATTATTTTTTTTCGTAGAAAAAGTGGTTCATCCAACAATTTTTTTCTTTTAAACCATTCCATTAACTATGGGATCCACATTAAAAATTAAAAAAACCACGATTTCGTGGGGACCTGTTCTGCACAAGACCCAAAAAGAGGTTTAGAAGTTAATTATCTTTTAAGTGACTTTTTATATACACCAGTTTATATGGGTAAGTTAAATAGTTAAAAATTTAGTTAAATAAAGAACGTTTTCAGATATTTTGATCTAATAAAATTAAAATAATCTTTTAGATGATCAACCTACTGGTAATTTGGTGTCCAGTGATGTCGATCCAGGTACAAACCTTGTATTTAAAGACAAACATTTGTTGTAGTGGTGGACCACTCTCTCGTTGGAATTAGACTTGTACTGTTACCTGAGAAAAGCAGTAACTGAAAAGGGTAGGTACCTACACCGTGGGCCAAATTAAAATCGCAAAATATTCAGTAATGGAGATCAACGTTATTTTTAAAAAAAATATCATATGAACTTTATAACAAAAAATATGTTAATTGAGCTGTAAATAAACAAGTTATGGCACTGGCTACTTTAATTTGGCAGAGAGTGATTCAATAATTATTAGATACTCCAAAGTTTCTTAAAAATGTTAATATGTATTACGAATCCAAACTGAATTTGGTTTTTTAAAATTATCGTTTTAGATTTTTTAAATTGTATCTATCATTTTAGAGAAAGGATCAGATATCCCAAAACCAGGAATCATCCAGAGTGCAGATGATGCAGTTTTTGCGAGTGAGGTAAGATCTTTCTCTTGTAAGTCCTCTTTTAAGAATTTAACCCAGGCAGTTGTTTACACCCAAATTAGGTAAGAATTAAAAAATATAATAAGTGGAGCATACTACTCAAAAATGTAAATTTGCTTTATTAGCAATTGTTTTTGAATCCTGCTTATAAAAGGCATATGAAGCACCATAATATATTTCTTATGAAAAATAATGCCTTTGTTAGCTTAAAGACTAAGATAAAAAGTTCAAAGCCAATTTCTGTTGAGAATTTAGAGCCCTTTAACGGCATCAAATTTTTGATTTTTTCGTTATATAAACCATACTCGAGTTTTTTTTTATTTGTTTCAGATCGGAAGCATAGCAAAGGAATCGTACAACCTGTGAATTCAGTTTAATTACTGAGATCAAGGATGGTGAAACATTCATTATGATTATACAGAGCTACAAAGATTTATGTTAAGAACCCAAATTATCATAATGAATTGAGACGAGACAACACCTGGGTAGAAATTGAGGAAAAATGCAGAATAAAAGGCATTTTTATATGATTACACGAATCCATTTTTATCAAATCGTCACATAGATAATATTTCTCTACGCGTAATACTAAAATTAAAAAGGACAGCTTAAAACAACTTTAAATTTTCATCGCGTGCGAAAAAACAGTGCTTCCAATGGCTTCGGCTTCGGCGCGCTTCGCTCAAGTGCGCATCACACTTTAAATGTTTGCGAAGCGCCGGCGCCGGCGCGGCCAAAATGTCATTGGATTAATTGCATGTATTTTGATTTTGATTCTTCGCGTTACTTCGCTTTAATCCGTAGGTCTGCATTTTTATACATATATACCATTGATCCAATTCACGTTTTTTTGCCGTGCTTCGTATAAGTTCGCGACAAAACTTTGTTAGTTGTATTTTATATTATTTAATGCTATTGTATTGATTTATTATTATTGTTTTATTTATATGAAGAAGTTAAGTAGAGCAGTGCTGTGCGAGCCTACGTCTGAAGAAGAAATTTTATTTATTGTATAATTTGTATTATTTACTTTTTTATAAAGTTATTACTAATAATTATTATTATTAAACATATCCAGTTAATTATTTTTATTTTATTAACTATAGCTGTTTTTTCTATCTATTTCATATTTTTTGATGAGGATAAGCTAATTCTAAATGAAACGCCACCTGTTTGAGAACAATACAATATAATGGAGCGATGTAGCATTTAGAGTAACTTATTCTTATTAAAAAATAAGAAATAGAAGAAAAATTACCTATTTCTGTACAAAAAAAATTAATTACGTTCCAAAAAATTGATAATAGATGGCGTTAGAGTGTTAACAACAAAGTTACCTGTAGTCAAAATGTAAAGTTTCCTGTAAAATAAAATAAAATTGTATCATAAGTTCTGTAACGACCCGATGCATGGCGCCACTGAATTCTCCTACAGACGGTATCATTTCAGTTTCCTATATATTTTAGTTTGTATATGTATGAATTATTCATTAACGTAAAAAGTAATAATACCTTGATATATTCGAGCATAAACTTGTTTGTAGAAAAAATAGTGTATGATATGTGTGCTAAAAGTGATTTTATGTTGTTCGAAGCTCGGTTCGAAGGGATGCTTCCCTTCTCACAAAATAAAATACCACTTTTAGCACTTATATCATAAATAACTATTCTAGAATTTTAAACTGCAAAATAAATAAGAAACAATACTATAAAAAAAGAACATAAAAGTTCAACACAAACAAAGAAGTTCGCAATAACCAGACATGAACACAAATATAAAATAAAAATAAGACACTAACAGAAAGATTCAAAACATCAAACGATGTTCAAACATGACTTTCATTATGACGCTCCCCCTCATAATGAAAGAAATGTTAAAATTATTTTATATCATAATTATGGAAACTCAGGGAAAGGAAGAGGTGGACCAATTATTGCATGAGCCTCCTCAGCAAAAACGCGTATATATGGGGGAGGTAATGGTAGAAAGAAATTTAAAAATAAGAAAATCTGGTGTAAAATAAAATTGTTTTAAGATTCATTAATAATATCAATCAAAATAGAAATCCAGAACAATCTAAGTTTAGGTTTTTCCATAGTCACTATACCTTTGAGATAAAATTTAATTTAAATATTGCCACTACTTTTCCCAGACTCGACCTCTGGATGCGCCACTGCTCCTCAGTCACCTGATCTATCCGTTTTAATTTTTTTTATCTTCTTCTTCTTCTTAAGGTGCCGACTTCTTGCGAAGGTTGGCGACCATCATGACTAATTTTATTTTGTTGACTGCTGCCCTGAACAGGTCGTTTGATGTACAGTTGAACCATTCTCTGAGATTTCGAAGCCACGACATCCGTCTTCTTCCTATGCTTCCCTTCCCTATTATTTTACCCTGGATAATTAGTTGTAGAAGCTTGTATCTTGTACCTCTCATTACGTGGCCCATATATTGCAGTTTTCTGATTTTCACCTCTTGGGACAATTCTAGATCTTTTGAGACTCTTCGTAAGACTTCTTCATTGGTAATTCTGTCAACGTATGATATCCGGAGTACCCTTCTGTAAAGCCACATCTCGAAGGCATCTATCTTTTTAAGCATTTGTTTTGTTAGAGTGGCAGCTTCTATACCATAGAGCATTATTGTAATTATGTAGCATCTTAGCATTCGTATTTTAAGGTGGTTACTTAAAGTTTTGCAACAAAAGAATTGCTTCATTTTAATAAAGGTGTTACGTGCTATTTCATTTCTCGTTTTTAATTCTGATGAGTAATCATTGTTGTCGTTGATCAGGGTTCCTAGATATTTATATTTATAGACTCGCTCTATTATCTGATGGTTTACGATCAGTTGAGTATTTTGATTTGGTGTTTTGGTAAATATAGTAAATTTTTTTATGCGGTATGGTTAACAACAAAGTCTACAAGAGAACTTATGAATCAAGAGAGATACTCAAAGAGGCTTCAGGGAAGAAGTTTAATAATGTAGAATGCCGCGCGCCGCCGCGCCACCGCTCCGTGAGAAAAGCTTGTAATTCAGTTTTAAAAAGTTGCAATTTATACTCAAAACAATGGCGGATTTTTGAAACATTTGTTAAAATAACTTATACTGTTAGTGATATTAGTTTTTTGAGTTCTAATGCGTTTAATGTAAAGTATAAAGAACCGTTTAATAAAATTTTTTTGTCTTTTCATAGGTTAAAAGAATACCATGCCAACAAAGCAAAATTAGTCAAAAAAATAAGAAATGGCTATAACTTGCCGATTGTTGCGTCTCGTGCAATTGTGTCTTGATATTTTGTCGATTTCGGCCTCCTACAGAATTTTATTAATTCGCCTTGATCCAAATCTAATAGCAACTTTTAAAAAATTCTAATATCATTAACTTGCGAAAGTATTCATCGATTTGGTTACTATAAACATGGGTATAGAAATGCATAGTTTTAGATTTACAGGGTTTTAAAAATTTTTAAAATTAGGTTTTTTGTAATTATCTTAAATACCATTATTTTTTTATATATGAAACTGCTGTTGGTTGGACTAATAGTAATAATATTTAATGATATGTTAGATAAAATATATATTTTATCAGTTTTATTTTAATTTTCTTTTTATTAATTGTGATTAATAAAATTGCGTTTATCTCATCAAGGAGGCCGAATTGGACAAAATATCAAGAGATAACTTTTAATTGGCATAAAACGACCCACACAATTTTGATAGCAAAAGAAAAAAGTCAGTGGCGCACATGTTTCTTTATTGAAAAATATTGCAGTGATAACCCATATGCACGTCCCTGATGAATTTATCCACACTTTTTTAGCATTAAAATGTGTACCACTTATAGTAACTTTTACCCCTAAAATTTCATTCAAATCAGTAAAAGTACTTGGAAGGATATTATAATAAATCGAAAGATTATTAAGATTTTAACACCCTGTAGCTACGAAACAAAGCAGAATCGGACCTATGTTGATATGAAAAATAAATCTTATTTTTATGTGAGGAATCTCCCCAAGAGTACATGTTTTTTTGAAACACCCTGTATAGTTAGAAAGCTTAAAAAATTACGTTTTTCATGAAGTCATCAAACTCTGATATCCATTTAAAAAAACATGTTTGTATCATATGTCAAAAATAACAGGCTTTAGAAAAAATCGGAGAAAACAGATTCCTTAAGCATGTGATTCTCTACAACTTTTATCTGAATTTTTTGTCTAAGGTAGATGATAATGGAATTAGGGAGCATATTTCAAATAGCCGAAATTTGTTTTTTTCTAAATATCTAGTAAGCCATACACTTTTTCAAAAATCTGAAAGGCGCATATTTTGGGCCTCATAAGACTGCAATTCCTTCCTCATTTAACCGACCCTCTAGCTCCAGTAGTTTTCAAGATACCCATAGAGAACATCGTAAAATTTTATATTAGAAAACAAATCAATTATGGAAAAAATATAGAACAACTGAATGAATGAAAGAAAAAGGAAAATAAAAACCACTTTTTTCGAAGTTTTCCTCGACACAATATACAGGGTGAGTTTCCTACGATGTTCTCTATGGGTATCTCGGAAACTACTGGAGATAGAGAGTCGGTTAAATGGGGAAAGAATTGCAGTTTTGTGGGGTCATAAATATGCGCCTTTCGGATTTTTAAAAAAGTTGATGGCTTACTAGATATTTCGAAAAAAACAAATTTCAGGTTTTTTAAAAATTGTCCGTAATTCCATTATAATCTATTTTAGACAAAAAGTTTTCAGATAAAAGTTGTAGATAGTCACATCCTTAATGAGACTGTGTCCTCCGTTTATTTCTAAAGCCTGTCATTTTTGACATATGACACAAACATTGGTTTTTTTAAATGGAAACCATAGTTGGCCGTGACTTCATAAAAAGCGCCATTTTTTAAGTTTTTTAGTGATATAAGCTATAATATCTTTTCTTCGAAAAATTACTGAGTTATAGCCAATTCTTATGATTTTTAAACAAATTCACTTAGTTAGCCATGGAAACAAGTTCAATCGCCGTTGCTCTCAGAAATGTGAAACTGTCACATCCAAACTTTGTAAATTAAAATAAACAAAAATTGTAAATATGAATTTTTCAAATGAAGAAAAGCGTGTAGATACTCGCGCATCAATAGAGTGGTTCCAACATGACTTCCATTATGACACACCACCCCCCCGCCCCCCATAATGAGAGAAATATTAAAAATTATTTATATCATAATTATACAAACGCAGGGATAGGAAGAGGTGGACTAATTGCAAGGGCCTCCCCGATCACCTGACCTATACATTTTAGAATTTTTTATGCGGTATAGTTAACAATAAGGTTTAGAAAAGAACTTATGAATTAAGAGAGGCACTAGAAGTGGCGGTACGAGAAAAGTTTAATTAAGTCGACCGGTCCTTCTATGAGAATGTAGTAATTCAGTTTTACAAAGATGCAACTCAAAACAATGGCGGATTTTTTGAAC